TTTTTTTTTTTTTTCTATTTTTCTTATCCCTCTCCACTTCCCTTCCAATTGCAATTTCCACCAATTTCCACTCCGTATATTTATACAGTTAGTGTATTATATAGACATAGTTATTGCACAGGAGAACAGATAAACTGTACTCCTCTTTAGAGGTCCTTATTACTCGTTCCTTTCGCTCGATAGTTCATCAAAATTCCTAAGCAGTCAGACTCGAACGTTTCAAAGTGTGCATCGATAGCGAGCGCAACAGCTATGCGTCTTCCTGCAATTTCTGGCCGTGTATCAAGCTAACTATAGCTACGCCGTGCACCAAACGCACTCGTATAGAGGCAGGCGTACGGCCGTACGAATGACCGCTTCGGGTTCACGTTGCGAACGAACAACCGACAACCGGAAATACAGGTTGACGCCGAATAATCACGCACACGGTTGATATTCGCGACCCTGACTTCATCATCTATTATTAGCCGCCGGTCCTCTTCACGCTATTTAAATTGATACACATGTACACACATTTTTAATATAGTGTGTATCAAGATGCCAAAGTATGCTAAATGCGTGACCGTCGTATAGATAAATTTGCTTGTAATGCGGTTTCATTTACAATATTAATCGACACGCCGCCTCGAATGATAATTAAAAAAAAAAAAGAAAATCGTGTACAAAAACGATTATGAATGACAAATTATTGCATATATTTTTACCATCGATATTGTTCCACTTCTAACGGTAATATAGGTAAACAATTTCTTGGCCTTGGTGAAAGGAAGATGAATCTCTTTCTTCTGCTCTGGAATACGAAATACCTTGCCAGCAGCTAAAGTAGAAACTCGACCGTACAAAAATCGTGAAAGCAACGGAGGCAGTGCCGTTTTTTCGAGCCGGTGGCCAGGAAGGGATCGTTTGGTCTCGTTTCTATCAACGGGAAGGAAGAGAGAGAGGGAACAACGACCGAGAGAGAGAAAGAGAGAGATTTTAGCCCGTGTCGAGGAAATTAAGCTGCGCAGAAACCGG